GCTTTCAGAGGTACTGATCCCAAAGACCCTGACCCTGAAAACCTGAAACCTGAGTTTAGTTTAGTCCGCTTCCAATCTCGATACACCTGGGCAGACAACGCAGTAAGTAGTTCTTGGAGCAGTGAGGGGCTTGGGCACCTGATTAGATCATCTCCCAGCGGGACTGCCTTCTAGAAGTTTCTTCTTCCCTTCGAAGACGAAGCCCGCTTAAGAAAAACACGTACCTTTGCCAGTGGAACTCAAGCTTCGTAGGTGGATCTAGAGCCCTCTCGGACAGGTTCCCTAGCTCCCTCGAATTTCCGACCAAAGTAGCCAAGCTGCTCGGCCACCTTTTCATGCATTCCGCATTCCTTCCTGTCCTGCCAGCTGCGAGCATCCACAGCCAGCTACAAGCTGAACGAGTACGAGCCTCAAGCAATCGCTGCCTGCACCATGCAGGGACAGGATGAGAGGCTGCAGATCTCCGCTGCTGAAATCAGTCAAGACCATACTCTGGCAAGTAAGCCTGGTCTCAGGCGGAGCGAGAAAGGGAACGCGCCGCAGTCCCAGAAAGGGCAGAAGCCGAGCAACAAGAGTTGCACGCAAAAATGCAGGTACGAGTACATGGCTCTGACCAGCATGTTCTCACCAGCTCAGGAGAAGGAACGTGAAAAGGAGCGGGAGCGTCTGGAGCAGGAGAAAGAGCGCGAAAGGGAAAAGGAGAAGGACTCGTTTGAAAAGGGTCCCTTTTACCTCGCCCTTGAGCCTTGCTGAGGCAGTGATTTCCTGCAGATGCTTAATCAGGAGCGCGAGAAGGAGAAGTTGAAATTGGAGATTCCGCTCAGCCCTGCCAAGGCAGGCGGATAGTCCTCAAACTTGTTGCCAACTCTCATTGTTGAGGGTCATGATGTTCTGGCAGTACTGTTACTGACCCTTGGAGCTGACTTCCTCAACGGGAGATGGTTGACGAATGTCAACCCAATGTGAAGCATGCATTGCAGTGCTCTTCAAAGCTTTCTGTGTCCAGGTCCTCAAGCATCACATTGAGGCCAAGTTGCAAGTTGTGTCTGAAATGTCTGAAACGATTTCGGGGTCTGTGCGAGACAGGAGCTGACGGAGTTTGAGCAGGGCGAGATCCTGGATTTTCCACAAATCTGGTGATCCGAACGAATACTGATTGATTGTTCGCCGACATCCTTTCTGACGGCTCTGTAGCTTGGCGAGAAAAAGGTACTTTGGCGCTGGCGCCCCAAAAATTCGGGGGACGTCCGTTTGGCACTCAGCATTTCTTCTACACTGGTTCCGTACCCTCATTGACTCATTGAAGTATCGTGGTTTGCCTATCACTTTACATGCCGAACAGCAAGTCTGTGCGATTCTGGAAATCATGCCCAGAAGGCCATTGGTGCATTCCCTCAGCACTGAGGCCTCCACAAACAACCATTCTTACGACGACGAGCGTGGTGACTACATGGTCGTTTTGTCAGGTCCTAACAATTCAGTGCTGGTTCAGCGCGAGATTTGCACAGCACAGATGCTAGAGCGACTTTTTCTCCAAGGCACGACCACATCTTGTACCGCTACGAGGTTGGAAGTCATTGCGCTTGGCCTGTTCATGGTGCTGCAAGCTCCCACAGAAAATTGGTATTTTAGAACAATGACGAACAAAGGACCCACGACCCGATGGCGCCAGGTGCTGAACCCGCTGGGCAAAGGTTCCTTCGGGCAGGTAGTCCGCTCGTGCGCCTGGCCAAGATTGTGGTCCTGTTCTCGGCGCTGAGACCCTTTCAACTCAAAGCAGCGTTGAAGGTTTGTCAACAGGATGTGATGGGTTATTGCAAGAAAGCGGTTCCTCCTAAATGCGAATCAGCAAGCGAGCTGATCCTTCACAAGGGCAAGCTTAGTTAGTTGAACTCCAAAAATCGTTCAAAGGATATTGCACACTTAGCTTGATTGATGCAAAGGCGGCTCTAGCATCACAAGCTATCACGCGCAATGCGAATGTGTTCAATTTGCCACCAGCACCTGTATGCACTACTTGGGGATGATGACAGGTTCGACTTCAAGACGAATAATTGCGTCGCTTTGAAGATGGTCACTTGTCCGCAAAGGGAACATTTCGCAAGGTCTTGCAAGCAAGCCAGATACCGCAGTTTGGGGTTTGCGGCCTTGCAGTCTCGACCGATCTTCATATCTCTTGGAATCTGATTGACATGTGGCATTTGTCTTTGATGCCTTCGCTGATCATTCTTTGCAGGTCCGCAACAAAAAGCGCTTCCACCATCAGGCGCATGGTTGGCAGCACAGACCGATCGCTGAACGTATGTGGTCGCGCAGGCTCTGGTTGAGGTGAAGATCTTGGAGCACCTTAGAGAGCGTGATCTGGAAAGTACCTCTAACGTGGCTGCCGGCTTGTTTGCATTTGCATGGGTTCTTCGCGTTGCAGTATCCAGCTAGGCTTCGTCTTGAGCATCGCAGAGCTGTGTCAGGTTGTGCACATGCTGGATTACTTTTATTTCAGGCAGGGCAGCTGCTTTAGCCTGAACTCCGCAGGATGCTTGTGCCCCATGCTTGCAGGAACCACCTCTGCATAACCTTCGAGTTGCTCAGCATCAATCTCTACGAGTTCATTAAGCTCCTGGACTTGCACCAAAAAGCTTTGCACGGCATTAAACACGAAGACACGTGGCCGCGAGTTCAAATCAGCTACCAAGGAACAACAACTTCCAGGGGGCGCGGGCCCTGAAGAAGAGAGAAGTGCCGAGGCATGTGCATATCCAGTGAGCTCCGAGATGCCAATTGCAACTGAGGTCTCCCTGGGTTTGATTCGGAGATTCGCTATCCAGCTCCTGGCTGTTTGGGCCCTTGCATCTGATAGATCCTGGCTCAAGATGCTTGCGGTCCCGTGAGGCCCTGCGGTTCTTGAGGAAGCTGCACATCATCCACTGCGACCTGAAGCCGGTAAGCTGACCTTCTTCTTTTCTACTTCGCTGCTTCTGAGCGTGATGGCCACATCTTGGCTTTCCAGGAGAACGTGCTGCTGAAGAATCCAACAAAAAGTGGTATCAAGGCAGGCCACCTAAGGGCTAACGATTAAGGCCTTATGTCAAAGACATGAGGCCTTAAATGGGAGATGCGGTAGCTGCAACATTGCAACATGCTGCTTTCTGCCCCACCGTGCTGCTCTTCAAGTCCCATGACGGCTTGGGTTTGCCTCAGGTAATCGACTTTGGCTCCTCTTGCTTTGAGGATGAGCGTGTGTACACGTGCTCAGGGGTTCACTAGATGTGAAGCTTCCAGGTGGTCAGTCAATCTCCTAGAGTGAAGCTTTGCTCAGCCCGGCTTTGGATCAAGCAAGGAGGAATTCCAAAGCCTTGTTGCTGGCATCTGTTGCGCGCAGGTATATTCAGAGCCGATTCTATCGGTCCCCAGAGGTAATTCTCGGGATCCCGCCGCTGCCCCGGGCGGCGATGGCTCGAGAACTTGCACTCGGTATGTTTGGTGTAATTTGCACATGTTCCGTTACTCGTGCGCTGACACATGTCGCGCAGGTTTTAGGGAATGAAGTCGTTCTTTGCAGGGCAGACGTACCATCCTGCCTAGCAGCAGTGTCTACCTGCCTGGGAGTGAGGGTCACGGGTGATCTAAACTCGCGGACATGTCCCTTTCTCAACGAACCTTAGGCCCTGTCCGGCCATGAAGGCTAGTCAGATTAGTGTCCAGGTCAACCATCCTAGGCCTAGGTGTTTCCCGCCCTTTGCATGAGAAGTCCATGGGATTGTAATTCAGCTTTGGAGGCATGGAGAGCATCCTGTAGGTGCTATCTGCTATCAGTTCCGTAGCCAGGCCATGATGGTTGCAACACCTTTTGACGGAAAAGAAGTCGAAGACTGGTTCAGGACCTTTTTTGCGGCACATCTTTCAACTTGCCATCCAGGTACGATACCGCGATTGACATGTGGTCGTTCGGGTGCATCTTGGCCGAGCAGCTTCCTTAGATCTCTGTGACGTCGTCACATCTCATGAGAAAGTTTTGTTGTGTTGTTTTCAACGAAATTGTCTCGTCTTCAGATTCTGGGCCAAGTGCAGGAGCTGCCCAGAAGATAGTCTACCGAAACTTGTTCAGAGGTAGCTTCTGATCTGTGTCTTCGAAGGCTGTACACAGGCTATCCACTTTTTCCTGGTGAGAACGAGGCCATCATTTCCTATTCCCTGAGAGATTTGCCTTGGATTGCTAAAGCACTGTTGTGGAAGGTGGAACAGCTTGCTTGCATCATGGAGCTCTTTGGCGTTCATCCCTCAGCTGGGCCTGCTGGCCTCATGAAGGAGCCAGTGCGCCCCATCATCACAATGCATACAGCAGAGGCTACAGCATGAGTTCCGCTGAAAGGCGTCTCATGTTGGTGTACTCATTGCGCTGCATCATGTGATAAGGGTTCCGGCAATTTCAAAAGACCATGCACTGAGGTACCTCCATCTAAGATACTGGATGGTGCCCCGCGAATCAAGATGTGCGCCCTCCGTCCCCAATCAAAGTTTTCCGAGCGGACTTGCCGCTTGCAGTTTTTAATGTCTTCTGGAGGATGTGCTGCATCGGGCCTGAACCAAGGTGTGATTGAGGGAGTCATGTGCTGTGGAACAGCCAACCGCAACAATCAACTCCACACCTTTTGGTTCAAGCTTGCGCGCCAGCTGCGCTGAACATGTTCCCAACCAAGAAAGTGCCTGCGTGCCAAAACCACCCCAGGGACCCGGCAACGGCGCAGCCCAGAGCCCCAGAGCCCTCACCCTGCAACATCGTGCAGCCCAATCAACCCGGAGCTTCAGCCATTGCTTCAACGGGCGATGGAAGATGCTGCTGATGAAGAACCAACAACACTGCCTGGCAATTGGCCGGCGTTGAGCTCAAACTTCAAAGTCATTTAGGGATCTGTAAAAAACTTCCTCTGAATCAAAAAGAGTTGTACTGTTCCACCATACTTCTGCCTGCCCAAGGCTTTGCTTCATGACGGACAGGTGTTCACAGCTCTCTTGCTTAGCACGAGCTTCTCAGAGCCACTTCGACAGCATAAGAAAATGCTTCCTGAAATTTGGCCTTCGCAGCAAGCAAGGAAGTACCGGGGGCGGAACATGCGCCCCCTCCGCAGCTTCGCTGCGACTGAGCTCCCCGGCTCCGAGATGTCGCCACTTTGCAGAACCGATGGGTATCAATGGCAAGCAGGGCAGAGTCAGTCATACGTCCAGGAAGGCAGACCTCCGCATTCCGCGAAGGCCGGGTTGAAGTTCCTTCCACAAAAAGATGAGTGCTGAGAGCACACACTTGTGCTTTGAAAGGCAATGTCAGTTCCATGTTGTCGAAGTCGCGGATTTGTAGGTGATCTGGGGTGGCAGCGGGTCAGGTCTGGAGACGTGATTTGGCGTCCGTCCTTGCTACATCGCGCTGGAAACCGCCGCTCAGACAACACGTCAGAACCAACTAGTTTAGCAGCATTCAGCTCATTGATGATTTCCGCATGTTTCCATCCTTCAATTTTTTTGTCACACTTCTCTCCCGGGGTCTAGTCTGCAGGTGAAGCCGTTGCATTTATTTGGGTCGGCGATGCAGACGTCCGCGACCGTGACGCGGGCGCACTAGCATCATCCAAGCCAGAAGCAGTGAGCGCAGAAATTCGCCCAGTTTGTGTCTAGAGGTCCAGGGTGCAGGTTGCTAATTCTTGTGAGTTTGTCAGGCAGGGTGCATGCGATGCTTTACTTGAACGGGGGTGTGCTTACGGGGGCCCGGTGGCAAAGCCTGGTTGACCAAGGTACAATCTATGTGTGCTTCTCGCCCCTCCGGTACAACACGCAATTCTTGATGCTGGGCTGGCCCAAAGAAAAACAGGTAGGATTTGAGGCCTTTCCTCCAAAAGCATGCGTCGCGCGAGTCGTGCTGGAAGTACGGCAGATGGTTCTTGAAGGATGCTTCAAGATGGCTGCCTGTTCGCCGTGGTCAGAATTCAAATCATGATGCATCCACTTCTTCATTACCGGTAGATCAATGCACACTTGAAGCCTCTGAGGAAGATTTGCTGTGCTGGCCTGGCAAAGAACGGGATGTTCCCTGGTTAATCTCAGTGTTTCATCCCATGTACATTAGTCTCGCAATACGATTCAGGGTTAGAGTTATCTGCGTGGAGTAGAGGCGCACAGTAGCAGTCACTGAACATGTTAGGGGGAGGCAGCATCAAGCCTGAAATGTTCGTAGCTATTTCATGCAGCAGCCACCCGTGTTCACCCTAGTCTTGAGCTTTTCCTAGACCAACGCAGGGGCTGGGGATATAGTTTGTGTGGTCTGCAGATGTGGAGCTGCGTGGTCTAGGTTAGCTCGCTGATGCCGTAAATCATAGTGTAGAGGGATGTGGCTTGGTCAAAAAGATCACAAGCCACCTGTGAATTGTGGCAGAAGATGTATGACAAAGGAGTGCACGACGTGCCTGCCATCAGACTACAGATCTTTCCATGGGAGAGACCCTTGGCAGCGAAAATGTTTGCAGTTTGATGCTATCGGAGTATGCCGTGCTGGCGTTCACCTCACTTCAGATTGGCCCTGTTAGAGATACAGCAGTCTGGCGTGCCATGCATGTCTACAACCAGCACTTGAGCAGTTAAGACTCTAAGGATGATGCTGCCCGTGTCCACATATCTCAAGATCAAGTTGGAGTCCCGGTCTTGAGTCATTAGTTGCATTTTCCCAGCACAACTTTAAAGGTGGTAGTGCCGGTTGGGGGTCTGGTGGGATCCGTTTTTCAATGTGGCCATCTCCATGACATGGCAGGCCAACTTTCCATCATTTTTTCATTTAGTGAAGATGGGTCTGAAAAATCAGCCCAATGCACCGGGAAAGGATCGTCTGTGGGACCCTGATGGCGGTCAGAGGCTCTATGACAAGCTTGTGCAGAGCGCTGCTCGGCTGAGTTTACTGGAGTTCCAAAAGACGGGCTCTGCATCAAAGATGGAGTTTAGTTTCGGAAGACACGGTGGAGTCAGGATCGCAAGACGCAAGCCCACAGGCTCCGGCCACGTCAAGTGCAGAGTGCGGCGTAGAGCAGAGTCCAGGTTCGAGCACTTTCAGAAGAAGTGCACTTCAGATCAGCTGGATGCTGCGTTTAATCGGAACTGCCATTGCTGAGGTCAAAGAGCTCCCAAGTCACCGAGTGTGTCTCAGCTTCCAATTGGTAGTGGGTCTGGTAGTGCACGTGGTGTTGCGTGAAGCCTCCAAGAAGGGTCCACCCCGTCTCTCATCTCGCTCTCACTCGCTCTCTGTCTTTCTCTCGCTGCTTTTGATGCTTGGCAACTAGGTTTGGCAGCTCCAGTTGAATGAATCTTGCTCCTGCATGTATGTGATCCTGAGGTTGTTTTCTGGCATCTCGCATGGCGCCGCGCTGGCGCAAGCGGCTGCGCTCAAATTTCAGATTCAACGTCAGGACTGCCTTTGCTGGATTTGCTGGCCATGCAGAGAGCAACAAGACAAGCGACTCCACCAGACGGTAGCACTGCGGTGCTGTACCGAGTCAAGTAGGAGTGCTTTGCAAGCAGACGTTGGGCCTGAGAACATTTGTTCACTGAAGATTGTCGCTTTCGGTTCACGATCGCATATCCAGCACGGTGATTGGCTTGTGCCAGCGCAGGAGACAGAAGTCTTTGTGGTGACGTGGAATGCATACAGGCCGGCATGGAGTATGCCAAGATGTCAGTTTGGCACCTCTGCGGCTGGGAGTATGAGCAGAAGCACGTACGGAATTCACAGACATCTAGTGAACTGGAGGTGGACGGACTCCACAGGGCGTGCCCTCAGCCCAGCCAACTTTCAGACCGTTGACTGTCCTGTTTTGTCCAAACCAATTTTCCAGTCAGTACTACTGTTACTAATGACAGCGGCGAACTTTTTCAGTGAAACAGATGAACGACCTAGAGTACTAGCTGCAAAACGCACTGCTTTTTTTGTACTGCCAAGGAGGCCGTGGACCGTCATCTGGGTGAGCGACGCGAGCTGAGTCGAAGAAAGGCGTCTCAGAATCTCGGAAGAAGAGACTAAGCGTTGGTTGGGCCTCGAGCTCAGGAATGCTGCATTTCGTCCTGTCCAGACGAGAGACAGCACAGGCAGAACAGACTTGGCACTCGGGGATCTCAGACATGTCCGACAGTTGAAGGCAAATCGCTATTGGGACAGTGTCACCGGTTTTCCCCGCGACTCTCGGCAGATCTTAGAATTTCGCGCGTTGGAGTTTTGAAACGGAACTCCTTGCACATCTGCAACAAGTTTTGACCAGAGTATTGGCTGGTGCCTTGCTGAGCCAGAAGCCCTGGCGCCCCGCTTTGGTCTCCTACAGCTAGCAGGCTGCCAGAAATTCCTTTACAACTCTGTAGACCTGGCAGCGAAGCAGCGACGACGCACATAGAACTGCCATAAACAAAAGCTTCACTTGCAAGATAGAATTGCTGCTGAGTGGCTGACGACTGGGTCCCACATGCTGTGGAGCCTCCCAGTACCGAGCTGCCCCAGCTACCAGTGGGAGCTCTCTCGCAAATGCTGATAACACCGAACGTAAGCTAGGCACCTCAGCACTTGCGGCAATGCTTATTCCTTTCGGGCCACCAGCGACAGAGCTCAAAGAAGAAGCCGCTGTGCATTTCTGCATCTATGTCGCGGGCCACCGGCTCCCTATTCTAGGATATTTTACATGAAACGTCAGCGAAGTGAGGAAACACATTATCATGAACCCTTTTTGAGCCGCTGTTCTGGGAAGCTGGAGATCTGCAAGGACTTCTCGCCGATGCCGAATCAAGTGCTTCTAGATGCTGACACAGGCAGGGCCCTTCGACTCAATTGGAGCAGTTTACATGAAGTAGACAGTTGCAGGTGTCTTTTACAAGCATCATGGCGAAAGCCGCTCGCAGCTTGGCGCCGCCCTGCTGATGCGTGCGCAACCCGATCAAAACAAGCCTTTCTGGATTTCCCTTCTCCCTAAGCTAGGTCAGACTCTTGCGGTTCGTGTCAGTATAGTTGAAAAATCTCGAGGTTCCCCATTGTAAAGTCCGACCCATGGTAGATCACATTGACCACTGATCGCCTTTTGGCTCAAGGTATGAAAAAGGTCGACTGCAGCTCCGCTAAGCTTCGCTGCAGGGTGCTGTGTGGGTTGAACCCTCTAAGGTTGGATTTTCCTGTGTTGATTTTCCCCGAAACAACTTTCGCTTCGCTTTTGTAGTCTTCTTGTTGAACCAACCGGGATTAGTCATTTCAACTAGTTATCGGTTCCGTATCGCTCTTTTCGGGCAACAGATTAACTTCAGGGTTCGTCTTTTCATTGATGTCGAACGTTCCTCCTAAAACTCCAGCTGACTATCTGGAACAGTCTCCACTGAAGGGCGTCGTGGAATTAGGTCAGGCAAAGCAGCGAAGAGACAAAGGCTTGCGTACACTCGTGCTATTCTATGTTGCACGCCGTCTCTACCCAGCATTAATCCCAGA